CCATAGTTTATAACCCAACTCTTTCGCCACGTGTTTCTTCTCTCTTGCTCACTCTGTATCACTCCCCCCCTCCCACTTGGAACCATATTACAGCAACACATACTAAATTCCGAGGCAAAAAGGAAAATGAAGTATTTCCTCGTGGGTTTCTTCAAACATGTGGCTGTTAAGACATTCCTGTGCAGATTTTCTTTCCAGATAACAAAATGGTGTTTTATTATATGTTTATCATATGACTTGAAAATCATGCTTTCTCTCTCACAGACATACAAGCACACATGCATACACATTCATATCCACACATGCTTTCATTGTGTCATGAAAATGGACTGGCTAAGTAATGCCTATTTCTGTCACTTTGAAGTCTGCTATGTTTCCAACTCTCACATCATAAATACCTCCATTTCTAATTCTATTCTTCAAGCTTTTGACTAATAATTCCAGGCTCTTTATTAGCTATAAAACATAACCAGTATGTACTGAGAACATTATCCTTTCAATAACGTTGTAAAACAATACTCATTGCTAATAAAAAAAAACTTAAGGGGGAGAATATTCACCATTTACCCATGTTCGTATGTCTGAAGTGGAAAAAACCGGATTTGGTTTTGTTCCTGGTTCCTGGCCTAGAGCTAACTCTATTGGGTCTTCCTGGGAGATAAGTGTCTGTGCTGATTATATTGCAACCACACCCAACTTCATACTTACAAGGTGTCTTCAGGTTGGGTGCTGTCTGACAAGGATACATGCACGTGGTTAGATAGTTTGAACGTGTGATGACTCCCTGACCCCTAATGTAAGTTCAACAGCCAAAGACAATGGCTTTATCAATCAAATTTGAGAAATGAAGCCTCTATAAAACGCCCTGAAAAGGGCTGGGAAAACTTATGGGAAGGGGAAAACATAGAAGTATTGCATGGGGAACGGGAGAGGAGGGGATTGGGTGTTAGAGGGTTACAGAAATTCCTTACTCATCCCCCATACCTGGCCCTAAATATTTCTTCCTTAGTCATCCCTGAGCTGAACCTTCTGGGACAGACCAGTAACAGTCAAGTGGAGCCATTTCCTGAGGTCAGGTAAAAGGAATCAAACTGAATTTCACTAAGTTCTTGGGACAGAATGATGCTTAGAGGCACAAAGTACTGATAAGTGCGGAATGATAAACCTCTTCACTGCTGAGCCGATGTCCCTCCAGCCCTTGAAGGCAGCCCTCTTGATAACAAAACCAAACTAAACTTCCAGAGGCAGCACTGAATTCTAGCTCAGGTGAGAAATCCTCCGCCCTTTGGACTTAACCATTAATCTGGTTGGAAGTTTTTCTTAAAACAAAACCACTCCAGAAACAACTTGCCCCATGGATCAGAACAACTCCCTATCTCAGTTTTCTCTTTTGCAAAACTAATGATAATCCTACCCTGTGAGCAGTGAAGTGAGGGATAAATAACAGTGTATATGAATACCTGTAACTGAGCCTGGCACATTGCAGATACATTAAAAATCAACATTAGAAGCATCTCGACAAATCACAAGTCTTACATGGGGCCACTGAATCTCTGAACAGGGACCTGCTATGGATGTTTCTGTAGAAACATTCAAGTAGTTCTGATGGCAGTCTAGGCTAAACCTCTCTGATCTAACTCTTCACTACTTCCCTCTTCCTCAGAAGTCCCCATCTAAGAAGCCACACAGTTTCACATTAGGATGAAAGCATGTTGCTAGAATAACCACATGGCCAGTTGGTAGGATCCAATCGCAAAAGAAGTATTAATAGATACCTTCACTCTCAGAAGTGCCCTGGCCAGTCCATTCTCTCCACAGACAACAAAATGACTCTATATTGTCTATTTTTGAACTATAAATTATTATAAGAACTATTAAAACAAAATGGCAGATGGGTTTGGGTGACATATGAATTAAACATAAAAAGATCCCTGGTGTTTTAGACACATATCTGCTAGATGCAGCTTATCAAAAATCCATCAATTCATCAGTTTCAAGGAAGGTTCAAGAGAAATGGCTCCTTCCCAAGACTGGAGTGGGCTGGGGTGTGGTTCCATCTTAGTCCCAAGCTGACCTTCATTCTCTGATAACCTAGCCCTTAATAAAACCTTCCTTTTCCCTTTGACTGTGTGTTGTGTGTTGGCTGCTCCACCCATGGGCTCCTGTGGACAGGGGAATAGAGTGAACACAATGTTAATTTAGCAACCCTGCTGGGAAGTGGGATGGAAAGAATATGGAAACCACCTCCCATTTCTAGTTACCAATGAATTTAATCCATCCTGGCTTGACCCTTTTTACAAATTTCCACCAGCTGGCTGGAGAGCTCATTGGGGGCCTGACGGCAATAAAAATTAAAGTAACTGTATTTGAAAATGGTGAGAATTTTCAGCATCTGCTGTTGGGGAGGTTTTCTCTCTTCATCCAAAGCTGTGCAAACACAAGCCTTCCTGGGGCCTTGCCCATGCCTTTCCTCCATTCACCACCAACTCAGAGGGAAGTATGGAGAGAATATTTTAAAACAGTCTGTGTCAGCAAAGTGGTTACTTGACATCAACTTAAATGGCATGATCACCTCTACAAAAGGACACAGCCAAAACTCTAGCTGTAGGGGTCGAGAGTAGTACCCATGTAAGTCATAGGGTTTCCTTGTTAGGTCATGAGGCTAACTTGAACACTTCCTCCTCAAGGTAACAAGTGTAAATGTTTAAAGCTGCCTCCCTCGTGTGCTTTAAATGTCTGAGAAAGAAACAATCCACGTGCAAAGTGAAATAGCCAGACACCAGCACGGCATTTGAAGGGGAACTCTGTCCTCACACAAAATAACTAGAATGTAAATGACTACTGCATTGAGGTGGATAAAACATACACAATTACTTAACAGAGTTATAGATTAGAGAGTTCTTTAACGTGTGTGTGTGTGTGTGTGTGTGTGTGCTCACACGCACAGTAGTGTGTTCTCTGTAATCTAGGCAACAAAGCTGAATTAGGATCTAAGAAAGTACAATCCAGTCCTTGCATGTTAAGCTGCTTGTCAGTAGTGACCCAGCAGCTTCAGAGGCATGCCTTATCTCTATTAATGGCTAACCCAAACTTCATCCTCTCTGGGTTCTTAGAAGAAAAAGCCGTTTGTGCCACAAAGCAACAGTTCCCAAAAGACTTAAAATCTCCAATGGAAGGGCCTAGATGAAACTGAACAGTGATTAATGTGGGTAAGCCAGCCATGCCTCCCTCCCTTCTCTCCTTCCCCCTTTTCCTCTCCTCCCTCCCAACTCCCTCCTCCATCCATTTTTCCCTATGGGGTTAGAATTCTTCTAAATGTTGACTATTATATCATGATCCCAATGTATTATGCACTAGGGCTTCAGTGAGTGGGTTGACGATACAGGCTATTTTAATCAGGAATTCTATTTTAATACAGAACTTTTTAGCTAGATCATGAGCTAAAATGAATGTACTGAGTCCCGTCTAGTTGGGTCTAGGGAAAGACTCTTGTATTAGAGAAGAAGAAAATGACTATGATCATTAAGGAAGGGATTCCTCTGCCATTCAGACTGGCAAACTAGTACACCAACAGGGTGGAAAATATGCAGTAATGGGAACTAAAACAAGCACTGTTCATGTTTTATTTGCCCACACAACCATCTAAAAGCAGGCCTGTGGAGAATTTTTGGCTTCAAGAAAACCTTTTTTCAAAAGTGACATTTGCTTTCATGGACCACTTCAGAGATGCATTTGTGTATAGAAGGCCTAATGGCCTGGGTGAAGTCCAGCCAGGGAGGTAAATAAAAATAAGCAAGTGTCTTAACCACTTGTGCTGTGCAAATTGGGGAAAGAATGCTAAGAAAAAAATAGTCTCAAGTCAGAGTGACTCAGAGCTGGGGAGGCCAGAGATGTCATTCCTCACCCGGCGCAGAGCTCCTGCCTTTCATCTCGGCTCTCACCATGAGCTATAGAAGACAGTTTTATTCGGAAAGAGAAAGTAAGTCTCCATCTAGTTCTTGCATGGCTTGGTACTATCTTGGGTGAAATGTACTCACTAACAATTTATTTTGGCAGAGGATGACCCATGCCTGCATGGACAGCTCCTGAGAGGAAAGACTAGGACTAAATGCTGATCACGGGCACTGTCTACTCATGCCCTGGTGACCCAAAGAAAGACTCTCAGGCGTCTACTTCCCCGTGTAGAATGATATTGTTTCCATGGGTTTTTGAGTTATGAGAGCAGGTAGAAGAATCCACAATACAGTGATGACCAAGTTCTTTGAGATTCTCCAAAGAAACCAGCACAACCAAGCTACATTACTGAAAGAGAAAGGGATTGCTCCAGGGAGACAGAATGGACCTGGAAATCCTGGACAGCTGTGCAATGAGAAATGGATTTCTGCCCCTCCGCCTTTCCAGAAAGAGGCACAGCTAACATTTTAACCTAGGGAAGCACCTGCAAAACCATATGAGAAGAGAGACCAAGGAGACCAGAGCACCCAGCAATGCAGCAAGATGCACCCAATGGTGGAGTGGGTTCTTTTGTAGTCTATCTGCTGTGTTAGTAATTGTAGAAGTACAGTGGTCTATGGCTAAAATATTTGTGTTTCCTCAGTCTGAGAGAGGAAGCCCAGAGTGGTATTTGTATGGTTACCTCAATGTCATGGTCCAATCCAGGGTTTTCCTAACACCTAAAGATTAGTAATTTACATGAACACAATAAAGGATCTGAAAAAATTGACTCTCTTATTATACAATCCGCATCCACCTTTTCTTATTGGAATTCACATTAAGCCTCAGGACCCTGAAGAGAGGTGAATTATTTGGGAAATCCTTGCCTGAAATCATCCTAGATCCTGGAGAGTTCTTCTGCCTCAAGCACTTTGCTAAGTGAATTAAATGTGAGGTCACACACAGCTCACCTCCCACTGAAGCTATCAACAGGTCTTTTCATTGAAGGTCCATGGGAGCTTTAGGGGAAGACACAAAATGCCAAGAGCAGAACTGTGCTCGTGTACCTGTGGTTCCTGGTCGTGACCGCTGGGATCCCTCTCGTAGCTCTCTGCATACAGTCTGATGGTGGCCCGCACACCGCTGGAGGAACTGAGCCGGAATATGAGCCGTGATGCATCGGAGAAAATGATCCTCAGGCCCTGAGACCAAGAACATCCCAAATGGCTCAGTGAACAAGTAAATACACGGGCAGTGATAATCAATACATGTTGCAGAAATCAGAGCAGTTCTACACACCAAAGCCCACCACGGCCATGCCAATTTCTAGTTGGCTCTGGATGCTCACTCAAGCACAACATTGCGGTAAACCCCAAAGCTATTTGAGGTTACCCATTTGTTTCTTGGTTCTATTTCTGTTGCTTTGTGGCTAATGTTGGCAGATGTTGAAGAGCCAAACGATGACCACATGCTCAGATTTTGTTGGTCTAGTGCAAAAAACAGTGGAGACAACTGGGAAAGGATAGCATTTAATAAATGTTCTCAACTCCATGGGGTAACCCTTATAAATCTGAATGCAATAGGCATTAAGCAAATTATCAATTGCAATAAGAAACATTCTGTTCCTTCCCTCCCCACCCATTCCCCCTTTTTTTATATTGAGTCTTGTCATGTCACCCAAGTGGGCCTTGAACTCAAGACACTGTCCCTACCTTACAAGAGCTGGTATTACATGTGTGCACCAACATGCTAAGTAACTGTTTCTCATTCTAAGGTTCAGACTACCCCATATACTGGTAGGCTTAGAACCCCACAATGAAGTGCTCAGAGCTGCCCCCTCCTCTGGACTGTGAGTGTTGCTGAGAACAAACTCATCATCTTAGATGCCCTTTTCTTTCTTACCTAGAAATGCTTTGCACCAGGTTGGAGTCAAGACAGAGCTGTGGCCAGGTGAATTAAGTGCTACCAAATATTACATTTGTTTTTGGCTTAGAACATCCCTACTCTATGTATTTTTTTCCTCATTCATGACAGGAATAATTAAAATATGGCCATAGTTTTATGACCATAAAATCATAATTCAGACTACTGATGAAAACACATTCTGAGGCAGCTAACAAAGCAAGTCTGATCAGTAAAGCATTAGAGAGACCAGAGAAAGGAAGAGGAAGCCACAGATTATCTACCAGTCACCACTCATAAAAAGTAGATGTCAAAAAAAAAAAAAGTAGATGTCTTAGATGACCTCGATATCAGACATTTTCCCTAAGTAATTTATCATGGAAATGTCCCTGGCCTCCAGTCCTGCTGGCTACGAACCAGTATTACTAAAATCATACCATTCCTGCTGTGTGAATCTGAATGCCAGTTCCGTACCCCACTCCAGACCTGACCACATTTGATACAGGAGGGTACCTGCAGGGTTTTCTGCTTTTTAAAGGTTTGTCCCAATGCCCAAACACAAAGCTTTTGTTTTGTTTAGAGTTGTTAAACACAAACCAATGGAATCAGCTCCTGTGTTGGCAACCAAGTACTAGTTTTTACTCATTGGGTTAACATATGAAAGTGGCCCCATGGAATAAGTGTGAGGCTATGTCCTAGGTATATGAAGGTAAAGACACAATGTTTGTCCTTCATAAGCCTGGAGTCATCCATCACAATCATCGAAATCTCATTTCTTAGCTAGCTACCTTTTTTTCACCAAAGAGGTGAATGGTCAACAAATCCCAAATGGAGCACACAAAATGAACAGTGAACATGGAGAATCCAAAAATGCCTGCTGCAAATGATGGTCAAACCCATCACAAGCCCCTGGAAGTCCCACAGATGTGCTCACAGTTAAGTTTTCACCAATGCTTTCAAAACTGTTAATGATGTTGAAGCATACATTCTCATTGTCCCAATATGGGCCACACCAGTACACACTTCATCACTCCCAGGATTATGCATGGCTTGTTTATAAGTTGATTAAAGCAGTTGTAAGACTGAGGTACTTAACACACCTGTATTTGCAAGTGTCAAAGAACTTGGGAGCCACCTTTTCTGGTCCTTTCCCAGACTCAAGTCTTTGAGACAGATCCCGTCACACAATGAATCTCCTGGGTTTGTTTATGGCCAGTGGAAAGTATACAGGATTTCAAGTCATGTTGAATCATCAATTTGTAGTAAGTTCATAACTAAGCCTTTAGAAAAGAAATCACACCTCCACTGTTTATACTGAATGCTATACACGTAGAAGATCACTAGTAATTAGCAGAAAAGAAGATAGTTTGAAGAAATGATATCTGAGTGAATGGTGTGTATCTGCCTACTGAGAATAACTTACCATCATCTCTCCTTCTAGAACACCAACTGTAAGAGCTTAATTGAGAATTAGGGCTGTTTGCCCTTACAGGCAATCAACATCACAGTTCTCTGCATGGAATGCATGACTTTTCAGACCAACCCTACCTCTACATTGCAATGTTGTATCTATGTGTAAGGTTAATATCTGTAGTTGACTTCACTTAGAATTACCTAAGAGACACATTTCTGAGGGTGCATCTGTAAGATTGTTTCCAGAAATGATCCTCTGAGGAGGAAAGACCCACTCTGCATGTGGGGAACACCATCTTTTGGCTTTAACCCCAATGAGTTAAAATGAGAAAAGACATCGAAGCATCAGCATTACCCAGAATGTAGCCTTATATTCCTGCTGCCAGGCTTTCTCCTCCAGGATGAATTGTATCTATAGCAATTGTGATACAAAATTAACCATCCCCCTCTTCAGTCACTTCTTCTCAGGTATTTGGTCTTGGGGACAAGCAACAGAACTAATATACCATGTCTGGTGAGTACCACTTCTACATGTGAAGAGTTAGATTGATTTCTTTGAGATCTGCATGTTTCTTCAATGAGCGTAATGACTTTGCAGTCCATACATGAACCATGTTTTTTTTTTCTAGCATGAATCCACCATTACTATGAACTAAACAGTAAAGCCAAAGTCACTATTAAACAAGAGTTGTCAAGCTTCTTATCATTCCTTAATTTCACTACAACAACAATGACAATATGCTTTTCCTTCGTTTGTTGTTGTTCAGGTTATTTCAAAGGTTGGTGAAACTTGTCACACCCTCTGTTTGTTTTGTTTTAAATCAAGTTTTATTGGGACACAACTATGTCCATTCAGTTAGGGGCAGCCTATAGCTATTTTCCTAGTATAGTTTTAGAGACTAATAATTGTGGCAGAGATCTTCTAGTGCATAAGGCCTAAAATATGTATTATACAGTTCTCTACAAAAGCGTTTGCTGGCCTTGGGTATAAACAGTTACATCATGCACAGCCTGGAATATTTACCCTTCAGCCTTATAGTAGAGCATAGAAAATGCGGCCACCTGCCACATCAAAATTTCAGTAGGGAGAAATGATGGTGATGAAGATTGTCATCAGGGGATTCAACCCATTCATTTCCCAGGTGTTCAAATTCTAGCTATAGATGCATCTGGACTATATCTGACCCAAAACTGTTGACTTCTGACCACCATTTAATGAATGGAATTTTAATTTGCCATTCTCACTCTTAGTGCAAGCTGTTATACCACACCGTCTTATAATAGAATCTTGAAATTAGCAGGCAAATGGATGGAACTTGAAGAAAACCACCCTGAATGAGGTAACCCGGTCACAAAAAGAGGAACATGGTATGTACTCAACTCATATATGGATTTTAGACAAAGAGAAAGGATCACCAGCCTATAGTTCACACTGCCAGGGAAACTAGGATACAAGGAGGAATCTAAGAGATTCATACAAGGTCCCTCACAGGAGGGGAAAGGAATAAGATCCTCAGAGCAAGAGAGGGTGGAGGGCAGTGAGTGGAGAGGGAGCTAGGAGAAAGAGAAGGGGAGGAGAAGAAAGCACGTGGGACTAGGAAGATTGAGTCAGGGGAGGAATAGATGAGAGAAAAAAGAGAGAGCAATACCATAAAAGAGGGAGCCATTATAGGTTTGAAGAGAAAACTGACTCTAGAGAAATGTCCAGAGACCTACAAGACTGACCCCAACTAACAATCTGAGCAACAGTGGAAAGGCTACCATAAATGCCTTTCCCTGAAAATGAGATTGATGACTAACTTATCTACCATCATAGAGCCCTCATCTAGTAGCTGATGGAAGCAGAAGCAAACACCCACTAGTAAACACTGAGCTGAACTGGAATCCAGATGCAGAGAGGGGAGGACAAGACCAGGCTGCAGAAACACATAGAGACAGCTTACCTGAACAAGGAGAAGCTAATGGGCCCCCCAGACTGATAGCTGGGAATCCAACATTGGACTGATTCAGATCCCCTAATTGTGGGTCTCAGTTAGAAAGCCTGAGCAGTCTAAGGGACCTCTGACAGTGGAACCAGGAAGCATCCCTGGTGCACGAAAGGACTTTGGGGACACATCCCCCCATGGAGGGATACTCCCTTAACCTAGAGACAGGAGAGAAGTCCTAGTCCCTACTCCAAATGACTTGACAGATTTTGTTGACCCCTCCTGGAAGGCACCACCCTCCCTGTGGAGTGGGGGAGGGGAGAATGGGATGGGAGGGTGAGGGGGCATGGGAGGGAGGGAAAAAGGGAGGGAGAGAGGAAGGAAGAGGGAACTGGGATCAACACATAAAATAAGAAAAATAAATAAATAAATAAATAAATAAATAAATAAATAATGTCCACTTTCCCAGTCCTGTAGGAATATTGTCAAAGACGGTATGAAACTAGATATGAGACATTCTCTCACAAGCCAAATGTTTTGAAAGCCTTTCCTTCCCTGAGGAACTGGTCGTCTTTTGCTTTCTGACAATAAACACTTTGTAACTAACCATATTTCCCTTCTCAATATGGCTGCCAGGACACTTAACACTAAACTTGAAGTTGAGTCCAAGTGGATCTCCATAACTCGTGAAGCTATGAGTTTTTCTTCTTCTGTTCTTGGCATTCTAACTTATACATTCCCCAGTCTTTATTTCTGTTTCTTGTTTATAGTCTAACAGCTTTATTATGTGTTTCTGATGCCATAAATCCTCTTGGTCAGACAAGGGCCCAGAGCAAAGGGATAAAACAAGGTCCTATGGCAACTTGACACTAAAGTGTTTGCCCTACTGTGTTTTGCCTTCAGATCGTTCATTAACTCTGACAGGAAGACAGGCACACACCCTGTTCACCTGCACTTTAGCT